TATATGGGATATATTTTAATGCATTTATTTTACAGGGCTAGTATTTAATTTAACATTTCCTCGGGGCTTACGGCCACAACAGGTTGAAACACGATTCCCGTACGATGAGCGAAGTTAAGTAACGTTCAACCTGGTCAGTACGTAGATAGGTGCCCACTTGGGAATACTAGGTGTTGTAAGCTTGGAGGTGTGTGGGTGGAGTAATGAATGATGACTTGGAATTGTTAATCGGAGAGCGGAGTTCCAAGTCCAGTCGGGTTCATTATACTCAATTACATACAAATACCTTTAAGAAAGGTGTGAATCCACCTCTTCTGGCACCAGCTATGGGTTAATTAGTAAAACTTGTATCACTAAACCATTGTTATCTCCAAAAATAAAATAAAGTTTTCGGTGTTGATATGCTGTTAAACAAAAAAATAAGCTAAAATTCAGTGGTGAGTATAAATCCTGTAGACGGAACATTATACAGTGAAAAATTCAGATCTACATTCAGTTAGAGCGTGCCATGCCAAGCGACAAGCTTATTGATCGCCCCGTCGCATATGAACGAAAAGGGACGGACTCACATAGACATGTCGTGATGCATATAAGCAAACTTTGTTTTCTAGTTATGACCAGACTGAAACAGATGTGAGCCTGGGATACTGTTACTGTGTCGATTGGACAGGTATTTTCTCGTGTGTGTCCGTTTCATTGATTGTAGGCACATACAGAGAATGTTTGCTTGCTCGCTTGCTGCCGTACAAAGCTGCCGATTTCACTGCAGCGGGTGGGAAGCTGAATATATGAAAACGAAACCCCGAGGCTGTGTAGTCATGTCTCATCATGTCAAGTTACTGACCACAACGAGAGCACGATGTTAAAGGCTGCGGACTTGCAACCTTAACATCGAGCATTTACAAATCTTCGAGTTAAGGCGGTACTGGCAAAAGACTATCTTTTTTGTTTCATTTAAATCAGAAATTATATGTTTCTGATATTTCTTGGATTTTCTTAAAACAACTTTCAGTTTATAAATAATTATTGTTTGAAGACGAGAAAAGTGTTTTAGTTTGTGTCTTTGGATGGTTGAGTTCGTTTACCAGCATATCAACACCTCTATGGGTTACTTAATACCGAAATCGACATATTTTGAAGACAATTTTACGGTTATATATATATATATATATATATATATATATACTATAAATAGTTTTTTTTGGTTGATTGGTTTATTTAACGGCATAGCAACTCCTTATGGATCATTTAATGCCGAAATTTAATTTTCTTGGGAACGTTGAAGTAATAAAATAATGTTATTCTGCTTTCACAGTTGAATACATGGGAGATGATACTCAGCTTTTGTGCATATACATATTTATGTGGACATAGTTACTAGAAGCGGTTATATGTGTTTTTTATATTGTTTTGTTGAAGTTATATTTTGGAATACAGTTTGATTTCGGAATTCTCGGATATTATATAGATTGAAGAGTTCTTTCATGTTTAGTCGATTTTTTAGCGGCATATCAGCCTCCATGTGTGATTTGATGCCGAAATCTAAATATTATGAACCATTTTATGGTTTAGAACGCAATTGTATGTATTCACCTACAGTTAAAATGTATTGTTGGTCAGTTTGCTATAAATATGTATCGTTGGTAATTTTTTTTTATAAGAAACGTATTGTTAGTATTTTTACTATACATATATTTTTATACTTTCATAGTATTTTATTTTTGTTTGGAGTTTAGTATTTACTCATAGCTGGGACCCTAACGGGTACTCCCATCCTTGATCAGGTTGGACCTGGGAACAACAGCAATTAAGGGGTGATTCCACCCTCTTCAAAACCTTCAATCTTCTGATCAGAGGCCCTGGTGCCGGATGTAGTTGCTCTGTGTCATGACTGCAATACTTAATATCGACAGTCGGTGTTCAAGCCCAGATAAAAATATTTCTAATTCGCATTTCTGAAGCAGGCAAGACTAATTTTGTTACACGCCACCCCTTCCTTATTAACCTATTCCAGTTATATCGTCTTCGGTACTGAGGAAAGTCCCATAAATACAATGAGAAAAACGAGTCTGTACTCAGAATACTGTCAAGTACGATCCATCTCTACAGTTTCCCTTTCCGCGAATTCGGTTATCCGCGGTCAATCCAAGAAATTATATTTTTACGTAATAATGGCATCAAAACACAAGCGTCTTAAGCATAGAATTCGGTTAGGCCAAAGAGAATTGGTAAATTAGTTGTTGATTTAAACAGGGATGAGAAAAATCCCATCTATAATGTTAGTTTAACTTGTATAAAACAAAATACACTATTAAATAACAGATAGGTACACATAGGTATGGGTTTCAGTGGAATCTAAAATGGAAGATATTGGTTCTTTTCACCGACTAGTCCCTTCACTGAAATAAACTACATCCGCGTCCTGGGTAAGACGATAAACTACGCCCAACAGCAAGGCCTCTGATCGGGAGGTTTTGAGGAGCGTGGAATCGCCTCTTAATTGCTGGTGTTCCCACGTCCACCCTGACCCGCGGTGGTAGCACCTGTTAGGGTCCCAGCTATGGGCAAATAGTTAACACCCAAACTTGTGTAAAAAAAAATAGGTTTTAATACCAGAAATAGTTTGTGATAAAAAAGTATTACCAGTAATAATTTTTGAAGGAAAGATTATTATCAGCAATACTTTAAAAAAAATACCAGCAATACAAACAGTTATACATTCTTTGAAAAAAAAAAAATGACCAGCTATAGGAAAAATATTCTCAGAAACAGATATTTGAAGAAAAACATTACAAGTAATAAAAATTTTGTCGGCATGAAATAACCCATTGAAGTTGATATGCCGTAAAACAAACCAAACCTTCACTGGGAAAACGTTTCAGCAAACTCAAAAAATCGTCTTATTTGCTAACAATTCGCAGGTTTGAAAATACCCTTTTCTATAAATGCTATATTGCCTCAGAATGTAAGTGATTATCGCTCTCCGTATATTTATTTAGTCTATATTATATTTGAATTTCCATGTAAGCATTCTGGGGTAAGGCAGTTGCCTTCAATTTGGGGTTAAGATTTTTCCTTCTATCTCATTTTTTTAAAAAATCATTTCACCCTAAGGAAGACGATAATGCCACTTAGATCCAAGTAGCTAATACTTTTTTTATTACAAAGTAGTTCTCGTATTAAAACCTATTTTTACACAAGCTTGGGTATTAACTATTTGCCCATAGCTGGGACCCTAACAGGTGTTACCATCACGAAACATGGACCTAGGAACACCAGCAATTAAGAGGTGGTTCCACGCTCCTCAAAACCTCTTGATCAGAGGCCTTGCTGCTGGACGTAGTTTATCGTCTTACCCAGGACGGCACATTCCCTTTGTATTTCATTGATTAGAAGGAAGTTCCATTCAGACAGCTTTTCAAGCGCCACTACTTTATGAAACAGTCCCCTGAATTGATCTTTCCTCGAACACTACAATCTTAATTTCTTAAAGTCTAGAGTCAACAGTTACTTATCGTATGCCTCTTCATAACCTGTATATATTTCCACTACTCTCATGCAACATCCTCATTTATTTACCATCTACCCTAAAGGCTATACGCGTTCATGGCTCTCCACAGCCTATGTATCTTATTGACTGTAAAATTCATAGTCCTATTGGAAAATCGATTGATGCCTTCACAAAAAATAAACAAACTATTAGGTAACTGGTGAATGCGGTTAGAATGAAAGGAGGACAAACAACAACCAGTGATGAACTTTTATGGAATATCGGTCCCCCAATATGGGAGAAAAAGTTGGACAACCTCTTCACAGAGAAAGAAGAGACTTGAGGTAAAGAACATGTGGTTCTAAAGAAGAGTGCTGAGAATACCCTTGATGGAACATACAGGCAACGAAGAAGTGTTAAGTAAAAACAGAACAAAAACTTATACTTACAATCAGAACGAGGCATTTCAGTTAACAAGAAAAGAACAAGGTTCAAAAAGATAGAAGATGGCGACTGAGGCCACTTTTAATTTGTTTAGATTGTAGTTATCAGGAAAGATATATATATATATATATATATATATATAAAATTGCTTTTTCAATCCTCTATGAGTTTAGCTAATGTCTTTCTATTATTGTGATTATTTTTTTATAAATAAATCTTTTCTCTATTATTGTATTGATGGGTTTCACCTACAATTTACAACATATGGTTATACAACAAATTTATTATAATTTTTATTTCAGTGAAGAATTATATTTTCGGTTCAAGTTTTGATTTAATGTTTATTGTAACGGAGATTTCCTGTTGTGTTATTTATTTGATATAATTGTAACATTAAACATTTTTGTATTGGGGTGTGTGAAGACCCCAGGGAACTCTCCATTTTTCAGAAATCCGAGGTGATTAACGCAGGGTTTAAAAAAAAATACCTGGCACGAAAGAATATAGAAGCGGCATTTGTTAAACTTCACACTCCCACAAACACACTATATATATATATATATATATATATATATATATATATGTATGTGTGTGTGTGTGTGCGGAAAAAAAAAAATATTTTGAGGCATTCTGTTACCTACTATATTCTTCCGTTTTTCCAATTCTCCCTTCTCTCTCTCTCGATCGAAAGCAAGTCCGTTCTTGTGCGGGTGAAGACATACCTTGACACATTTACTTCTACCATAGCGACGGCTGCGGGAAAGCAATGACTCATCAACTGTGCGTGTGTGCAACTCTTTCACACGCACGTATCAGCTGCACCAGCAGGTGCCTCCGCAGGTGCGTATGTCCCGTCTGTCTGTCTTTCTATCTATCTATCAATCAGGACTCCTCGTCATGAGGCAATTGTTAACTAGCTAATTGACTGTGCAGTTCGTTCGATCTTCACCGGGTGCTCCATACTAGCTGACTTGTACCAGACTAAATTACGTTTAGTTAAGATATCAGTTCTAGATTGCATCCATGGTACTTCAGGCATCCTTGTTTTCAGAATAAATTTATCCATTCAAGTACCGAGAGGAGAAGGAGGAGGAGGAGGAGGTGGAGAGTGAAAAATGTTAAAGTTTTGAGATGGAAGGGGAGATAGTGAAAGAAAAAGAGAGGAAAGGGAGAAATATCCTGAAGGCTAAGACAAGGGAAGAAAAAAAACACGTCGATGTTTAATGCTCACTTTACAGTGACGCCCTATGGGAAAAAGGGCGTCTCTCCTAACAGGTACGTCATAAATATTACTTGCTATAACCCATCGCATGTCACTACTTGGAGAGGAGATCAGCATCGACACGTAGGGCCTCCACTTACCCGAAAGGAACCCAAAATGTGAATCTGACGATTTATCAAATCACAGGAGTTTTTTTTTGTTTTTTTTTAATCAATTTAAAACCAAGCAAGGCGACAACGCTACTAAAACGCAAGAGTTTCTTTCTGGGAGTGAAAGGGAATGAGAAAACTAAACTTTAGAAGTAACTGGAAACCCAATCCTAAACAGGAAACAAGGAAAAACATCTACTTCTAGAATCAGGAGGAGTGTAAACCGGACGACAGGCAAACCTATCTATTCATATTGAAAAAAAAATTAAGTAGTAAATAAAATTTCAGAGTTTAAGGGGAGAGGTCAGAAGTATAGAGTTGAAGTAGACTTTAGAAAAAACCGGAAACCTAAACAGCAAACTAGAGGTGAACCTCCACTCCTGTTCTAAAAGTCAAGGAGGAGTGTGAACTGGACGACAGGCAAGCATATCTATTCTTAATTGATAGATGCTCGATTTAGATATTCTTCCGCAGATTCACATACATTTTGAATATATATATATATATATATAGAGAGAGAGAGAGGGAGAGGGGAGAGAGAGAGATGGAGAGGAGAGAGAGAGAGATGGAGAGAGAGATGGGGAGAGAGAGAGAGAGGAGAGAGAGAGGGAGGGAGAGGAGAGAGAGAGAGAGAGGGGAGGGAGAGAGAGAGAGAGAGATGGGGAGGGAGAGAGAGAGAGAGAGATGGGGAGATGGGGAGAGAGAGAGAGAGATGGGGAGGAGAGAGAGAGATGGGGAGGAGAGAGAGAGAGAGGGGGGGAGAGAGAGAGAGATGGGGGGGAGAGAGAGAGAGAGATGGGGGGGAGAGAGAGAGAGAGATGGGGAGGGAGAGAGAGAGATGGGGGGGAGAGAGAGAGAGAGATGGGGGGGAGAGAGAGAGAGATGGGGAGGGAGAGAGAGAGATGGGGAGGAGGGAGAGAGAGAGAGATGGGGATGGGGAGGAGAGAGAGATGGGAGGAGGAGAGAGAGAGATGGGGAGGGGAGAGAGATGGGATGGGGAGAGAGAGAGAGATGGGAGGAGGAGAGAGAGATGGGGAGGGAGGAGAGAGAGATGGGGAGATGGGAGAGAGAGAGAGAGATGGGGACAGAGAGAGAGAGAGATGGGGACAGAGAGAGAGATGGGGACAGAGAGAGAGATGGGGGGACAGAGAGAGAGAGGGATGGGGAGAGAGAGAGAGAGGGATGGGGAGAGAGAGAGGGATGGGGAGAGAGAGAGAGGGATGGGGAGAGAGAGAGAGAGATGGGGAGTTATCAAAATACTTTTACAAACTTTGGGTCAGCTTCCTCACACCAAAAGACAAAAATCCACCTAAACATGTTTTCAAATCCTTTGTTTTTGAGTTATTAATTAAAAAAAAATAATACGGTGAATGGCGCTGTATTGCCAGGTAGACTGACTTACATTTGTCATTCGCTGAACATTTGTGGCTATTCTGTCTTCATCGTTTAACGTGTGTAGTAGTGAGTTAGCCGAGAAGTGTTCCGTTTACCAATGGTAGAATATTCAGGGTGAGCAGGCAGGGTTTTACATACGGTTGCGCGAATGTTAATGGGCGCGAGGCTGCACGGCTGTATCAGATTGTGTTTCCAGACCGAAGGCAACCGATTCATCCAAACTTCGCTGCTGCTCATCGTCACGTTGTTGAGACAGGAACCATGGAACCACAAATTATGGATCGAGGAAGACTGAGATCCCCTCGAACACCTGACCACGAAGAACACATTCTACATGCTGTCGGAGACGATCCAGATATCAGAACGCGTCAAGTAGTCCTCGCACGTTGTACATCTCATAGTACCACAAGGAAGGCACTATGCAGCTCCCGTATCCTTATCATTTGCAACGGGTGCAGGGTCGTTCGCCCTCTGATCACTCAACACGGGAGAACTTTTGCCGATGGCTTACTGTACAAACTGCCGATCAATTGTCGATCAGTCACTTCAGTATTGTTTACTGATGAGGCAACATTTAGAAGATATGGAATAACAAATTCACACAACCAACATTTGTAAGCGGATCGGAATCCTCATGGTACAATACAGGCTAGACTAGACATCAGAATCCGTTTAAGATTAATGTGTGGGCTGGAATTGTAGGTGACTGACTAGTAGGTCCATATGTGCTTCCAGTACGTCTTACGGAAGACGTCTACAGGAACTTCGAATACTGTTCTGGACCTGTCAGAGGATGTACTCCTGCTAATACGAAGACGCAGGTGGTTCATGCATGATGGGGCATGAAAGATAGATAGAAGAGAACAGGTTCCATGGTCTGCACGTACCCCCCTACCTCAATCCTTTAGATTTTTATCTATTCGGCCAACTAAAACAATTGGATTATGCATCAGACATTAATAACGCAGAGACACTTCATCAACGTGTTATGTGGGCTTGCGTAACCATTCGACACCGTGTGAGAGTATCTGAAAGGGTCCGCCAGTCAATGATCCGACGGGTGCATGTAAGTGTGTAGAATCAAGCGGAGAATATTTTGAACATTTGTTATGAGTTTCTGTGTTGAAGTACAACGATGGCCTTTTGGACATATGTTTATATGGACATTTTATCCTGTTTTGGTGTCAGGAACCTGCCCCCAAATTTTAAAAAAAATTATTTTTGATATTTATATATATATATATATATATATATATATATATATATATATATATATATATATATCAACAACACATGTTAGACACTTTTGTAATGTCAACGAGTGCTCGTTGTAGTAGATACTTTGTAATCGTAGATACAACTATAGTAACGCCGTTGGACAATACTGGTGTCAGACGCCTTCGAATAACACTCGTACTAATAGTACTTGCTCGATAATACTCGCTCGAACAGTAATCCGAATAGAGGAATAGTCAGTGAATAGAGTATAGAATAGCTGTCCGTATAGTGATAGAGGAGAAATAGTGATCCGAATAGTAATAAAGGATAGAATAGAAATGCGATCCATTAGAAGTCACACGACTTCCTACCAATGCGTTTCCGCTGTGGTCATGTCGTCTACTTAATTCAATAATGGGATCGCCTGGGTTTCCTCACTAGCGATCTGTGTTCAAACTCAAGTGTCGACAGCGACACTTCATTCCCATATAACAGTATGTGTGTTTGCAAAAGGAATGAATGCATTTTTGTTCATCGTTCGATATTATTTCACATTACTAGAAACGCAACATGTGTTTGAGTAGACATCTGTGTTATTTAAACAGTATATTTTCATCTACCGGCCAGGGTTCGGCGCTCTCAGTATAATGGAATATCTTTAAGAGGAAGACAGGCAAATAGAAAGAAACGAAACAGACCAGTAGACGAATACATAGGGCGTCCACAAAGGCTTTAGACAATTAAAAAAAAATCATAACCAGAAACTTAAACGAGGTAGCAACTAAATTTTGGTTACATATTAACATGTTATTAAATTCTTTTAATAATATTAACAAGTTTAATATAGTGGAATAATAATTTAAAAAAAAAATGTACGAAAATACTGAAGAATGTAATTTTCCAAGCGACCAGATGAAACCTCACGGTTGAAACCCGGGTTGGATAGAAGGGGTAAAATATTTTAATCCTCTTATTGTATTAACCTGCTTTGCAATTTCTCTCTCTCTCTCTCATATATATATATATATATATATATATATATATATAAAAGAGAGAAATGTGTAGTATTTGGGCAGCAATCTTTCTTTCATTGAAAAAGGCCGGCAAGGAAGATTTAATTAATCTTTTATAGAGTTTTTCCAGCAATCTAACATTTTTTTTCCTGTTTTTCAAGGGTTAAAGAAAATTGTTCAGAGCACTTTCGGCTACTTCTCTAGCCATTATCAAGGATGTGTTTTTGGATGGTGAAATTCTGTGTGTGGTTGCTACATAGAAATTTTGTAGTGCGGGGGTTCGAGCGGTTTGCGGCCAATTGACCGGGGCAAGACTTCTATTTTTAGAACACTTAACACACCGTCACCCCGTGGCTGCCCTATATCTTTCATTGGTGTATGCTATATAAGTAACTTTAATGTATGAATCTTTCATATGACTGCTACATAGTAACTTTACAGTGTGGAGTTCGAGCGATTTCCGTGCTTCTTGGTGGTCACGTGCTACGCGTACTAAGTTAACCTTACTAATTCATAACTTCCAACAACCTTTAAAGAAAACTTCTAGCTGATAATACAAAGATCTTTTTCAGGTCACATAGTCGTACACAGCTAGTCATTAGGTAGGCTATACTTGTTAAACTTTATTCTCACACTATTTAGCAGCGAAGACGGCATGTTAAAAGTGTTCTAAAACTACAAGTCTTGCCCTGGTCAACTGGCCGCGCATAGCAAGTGACCGTCATGAAGCACACAAACTACACGAACTCTACACTGTAAGATTACTATATACCAACCACGCACATAATTTCACCATTCAAAAAACACATCTTGATAATGGCTAGAAAAGTAACCGAAAGCTCTTGGAACAATTATAACTATGGAAAATTCCTATATTCTTGAACCCCTTAAAAACGAAAAAAATGTTAGCCTGGTGGAAAACTCAATAAAAAGATTAAATCTTCCTTGTCATCCTTTTTCAATAAAAAAGGTTGCAGGTCAAATACACACACACATGTATATATAAAATTAGAAAATAGCTCCTACTCTCCACCCGCTAAAAAATAAATAAATAAATCATGTTACTGCAATCAACAAATAAGAAAAATATATAACACTGTCACCAGAGGGAAAATAGAATAAGTAGAGGGTATGACGATCCAGATGCGAGAGGTGTCAACTCTCTCTCTTATTATATATATATATATATATATATATATATATATATATATATATATATATATATGAGAGAGAGAGAGATTTTTATTTTTATATATATATATATATATATGAAAAAATCACAACGATATGGTCAGTTATGTGCCATGCGTGATTCACGCTTACGCGATCATGTATCTTTCGATACATGACTGACATTTTTTTCACGCAGTAGGTTGCCATTTCTTTCTGCGGTAGACCAGTTGCCCTCCAATGCAATAGGACCAAGTCTGCCCTGCTATTTACCCATAGCTGTGGGGAGAAGAAGACGATTCATACCTTTCCCAGGGGTAGTAGCACGTAAGTGAATGTAATGGATTCAACTGGAATTCGAACTCGGCTATCCAATGCCTCAATCCGAGCCGCTATCCATTACTCTACCGTGACACTTTAAAAAACACTGGTAGTTCACCGTAATACATCTGACCACAATTCCGTCTTAATAAATGCCGGTCTGATCCGGAGATAAGAATAAAATGCATTGAGAAAACGCTAATTTCACAAATCTTGACAATAAACCTAAGACTAAGACCAAAGGTAATATCATCGATCATCAGAAAAGTAATAGCAGCACAATACAAGCTAATGAAGAAAAAACAGGTCTAATTGAAGTGGACTGATTTAGAATCCAGCAAACACTATGTGATCATTGCATTTGGTAAAAATTTATTGTCCCTCTTATCCTCAAAAATCTCAACGAATTTTTACTTACACTCGTCTTTCATACCGACCAGAAAAAGCCGAAACCAACACACGTCACGTCAGCGAAACGCGTCGTTTAATAGCTTTTTTCACATTGACTGATCTACCTATATATATATATATATATATATATATATATATATATATATATATATATATATGTGTGTGTGTGTAACATAACTGGTTTGCAGTTTGTCATATCCAGAGATGGGGTAAAATTCTATTAATAAACAAAATGGCAAACGCATTTGGTGTATCTCATATCTGTGTGTGTGTGTGTTTTAAGTCACATGACCTTAATGCTAAGATTTTGCAATTCAAGTGTTTGAGCATGCGCAATCGAATATCTATTTCTCGATCGAGTGTCTCGGCTGCTGACCTACCAATGAAAACAGCCCAGTCACAGTTAATTAATAGTGGGCTCGTCTCCTTAGACATTGATTGTAAATTCTCTTTGTAAGTGGGGATTTCTTACTGTAACCTTGCATCATACTATCTCAAACTAAGGTGATGTCAACCACCTTTAAACATTTTCATTCTATTCACAGGTAAAATATATATTCCTTTTAAATGGATCCCCGATTTATTTTGTAGCGGTTTAAATTCTACATATAATACAAACACAGAAACTAAGAAGTGATTTGATTGTTTAATGGCATATCAATATCTTATGCTATTTAATGCGGGAATTTTATTTTCTTGGGAGCTTTGAAGTAAAAACATGTTATTCTGCTTTCACAGTTCAATACATGATAGATAATGCTCAGCTTTTGTATACAAGTTGCGATGGATAAATTGTCGTCTAAATTATACTTAAATGAAAATAACATCTCATTTTATCAAATATGTTTATCTTAATTTATACAGAATATGTTAAAGAGTAAATTTATTCAATAAAATCGCTATTGGCTTGAACCACGGCCTCAAGATGACTTCGGAATCTCTTGCATCTCTTCTGGGCGGTCTCCATGTTTAAGTTTGTGAATGTTGCCATAAACCTTGCCTTCAGTTTATCATTGGCTTTACAAGGAATGGTTTCGCGCTCAACTGTGTCCCGCATATAGTTATCAAGAGCGTTGAAGACTGGGAAGTTAGACTGACACCCAAACACTCTGAAATGTTCGTATTAGAGATTCCGTCGCAAATACCAAGCAGTACAGTATAGCGTTTCCAAAAATATGGTTGAGTGAATTGCGTCATGGTGCTCTTTTTCTCACAGAAGGTGCCCATTTAACCCTACTATATTGTACAGTCGACAAAATCAAAAACAACGCACGCGAAATTAAAAATATAAAATGATGACAGTTTACCCATCGCACCCTGTATATGCATGTTGGTATGAGCATAATTACTAGAGGCGGTGATGTGTGTTTTAGGTTGTAGTTTTGTAGAAGTTGCATTTTGGAATACAATTTGAATTCTTTAAGAAATTGTCGGATATTATATGGATGAATGCCATGAAAGAATTCTTTCATGTTATTTATTTGGTTGATTTTGTTTTGCGACATGGGTAATTTAATGCCGAAATCTAAATATTTTGAACACAATTTTATGGCTTCAAGTAGAGAAAATGTCACCATTTTGCTATAAAATGCCTCGTTGGTCATTCTACTATAAAATGTATTGTTGGTAATTTTGCCTTAAAAATGTATTGTTGGTAATTTTGCCTTAAAAATGTATTGTTGGTAATTTTGCCTTAAAAATGTATTGTTGGTAATTTTGCCTTAAAAATGTATTGTTGGTAATTTGCCTTAAAATGTATTGCCGGTAATTTTGCCTTAAAAAATGTATTGCCGGTAATTTTGCCTTAAAAATGTATTGCCGGTAATTTTGCCTTAAAAATGTATTGCCGGTAATTTTGCCTTAAAAATGTATTGCCGGTAATTTTGCCTTAAAAATGTATTGCCGGTAATTTTGCCTTAAAAATGTATTGCCGGTAATTTTGCCTTAAAAATGTAAAATTTGCCTTAAAATGTATTGCCGGTAATTTTGCCTTAAAAATGTATTGCCGGTAATTTTGCCTTAAAATGTATTGCCGGTAATTTTGCCTTAAAATGTATTGCCGGTAATTTTGCCTTAAAAATGTATAAAATGCCGGTAATTTTTTAAAAATGTATTGCCGGTAATTTTGCCTTAAAATGTATTGCCGGTAATTTTGCCTTAAAATTATTGCCGGTAATTTTGCCTTAAAAATTGTAATTGCCGGTAATTTTGCCTTAAAAATGTATTGCCGGTAATTTTGCCTTTGAAAAATGTATTGCCGGTAATTTAAAATGTATTGCCGGTAATTTTGCCTTAAAAAAGTAATTTTGCCTTAAAAATTGTTGGTAATTTTGCCTTAAAAATGTATTGCCGGTAATTTTGCCTTAAAAATGTATTGTTGGTAATTTTACTATAAATATTATTGTTGGTATATTTTTATATATAAAAATGTATTTTTATATTTTCATAGTATTTTGTTTTTGTCTGGGGGGTTCACTATTTGCCCTTAGGTGGGAGCCTAACAGGATGAATCTGGGAACAATAGCAATTAAGAGATGGTCCAACGCTCCTCAAAACCTCCAACTCCCTATCAGGGACATTGCTACCGGATGTAGTTTATCGTCATACCCAGGACTTGACTAAGAAGTGTAACTCGCTTTGGACCATTGAGATTGAAGAGCAAGTTTGGATTATCAAAATCCATGTGGATTATGGGGATAGATCTCACAATATGCTTTAATCTCACTTATTAGACTAGGATATCTAGATGCTCAGTGGGTGGAATGAATAGCGACTCGGAATGAGAATTCAGAGAGCCGAGTTCGTTATATTCACTTACGCACAGACAACCCTATCTATACCCCCTCTAGCTATGGGTTGAACAGCAGGACAGACTGGGTCCTATTGAAATCAGTCTAGGAGAAGGAAAACTGAATTCAAACCAGATTGAACAGGTTTGGGTACCAAAGACACGCTACTTCTGCTACGGATGCTGTACATGTACTGCCCCTATGACTAATGGGATACGGGACTCGCAATCGGGAGGATAGTGAACAATAAAAATACCAGCAAATAATAAAATGTGAATGAGACAGTTTAATCATTTTTGGTAGGATTAAAATAAATTAAAACAACAGAATTTACATCGTTACTTTTCAACGTTATATTATTAGATTTTAAGAATAATGGTTTAGTGATGCAAGTCTTACTAATTAACCCCATAGGTGGGGGAAAAGAGGTGGAGTTACGAATATAATGAACCCAATGGGAATTGAAACTCGGCTCCCCGATTAACAATTTCGAGCCATTATCCATTACACTACCTGCACATCCAAGTTTACCACACTTGGTATTCCCAAGATGCCACCACTATAGTTACTGACCAGGAGTGACGTTGCTTAACTTCGGTGCTCGTACGGGAACCGATGTTTAACGTGATGTGACCATAAGCTATTGATAGAAAAATTAGTTCACTTAATCTCATACTTATCTGAACCAATTTGAGCCATTAAAACATTTTTACCGAAAAGAAAAATGAAGAGGAGAGGAGAGGAAAGAGAGGAGAGGGAGGAGAGGAGAGGAAAGAGAGGAGAGGAGAGGAAAGAGAGGAGAGGAGAGGAAAGAGAGGAGAGGAAAGGGAGGAGAGGAGAGGAAAAGAGAGGAGAGGAGAGGAAAGAGAGGAGGAGAGAGGAAAGAGAGGAGAGGGGAGAGGAGAGGAAAGAGAGGAGAGAAAGAGAGGAGAGGAAAGAGGAGAGGAAAGAGAGGAGGAAAAGAGGAGAGGAAAGAGAGGAGAGAGAGGAAAGAGAGAGGAAAGAGAGGAGAGGAAAGAGAGGAAAGGAAAGAGAGGAAAGGAAAGAGAGGAAAGGAAAGAGAGGAAAGGAAAGAGAAAAAAAAAAAAAAAAAAAAAAAAAAGAAAAAAAAAAAAAAAAAAGAGAAAAAAAGAGAAAAGAGGCGAAAAAAAAAAAAAAAAAAAAAAAAAAAAAGGAGAGGTAAACAAAGGAGGGTTAATAAATAAATAAAATAAAATAAAATAAAATAAAATAAAATAATGGGCCCTAACTGAAATTCGAACCCAGTTTCCGTCTTCTGTGATGGCCGCATTTTGGCCAGACACACTTCGTCTCATCTTTCACGCATCCATTAGCGGTGTCCAAGTATTTAGAACAATCCATGCGCAGCGGTTCCCAATTTTCACCGTTTTAGTTATCTACGATCACTTCCAGAAATAAAGTATTCATGAGTGTTGTTTAATGGTCCCAAAGCGCCGGAATAGTGATGTCAGCAATTCACACATATCAAAGAGAAACCGTTAATTGATTTCTAGAAGTGTGTAACGTTGTCATTGCACATTAGTAATGAAAACACGCAATTCAAGCACTCATACGTAACATTAAGATTTGTTTCGCTCCAGAATCTTTCAATCCCAGTCGGCCAGTGGATATGTGGCTTTGTAACAGACTTCATTCTCCTCTAGGGTGGCTGTTTATATATCTGCCTGCCGTACGTCTTTTTTGTTTGTTTGTTTGTTTTCGTCTCCTATGAGTGCATATCCAAAATGCTGTTGGTTTCATCGCTTACATGTCGAGTCAATCACTGACAGTAAAGCGCTGATCTCATCGCTGATGCGCAAAGTTTATCCTGGCATCATATGGTGTGATAAATATGACAAGTAAAATTTTTCAATTTTCTAGATCAGCAACAAGGTCTCATCAATTTATAGTAGAACGACGAAAATGAAAAGCAAAAATGATTAAAAGCAAAAAAAACAAAAGAAAAAAAGACGAAAGAAAAAAAGACGAAAAAAAAAGACGAAAGAAAAAAGAAAAAAAAAAAAGACGAAAAAAAAAAAGACGAAAGAAAAAAAAGAAAAAAAAAAGAAGAAAAAAAAAAAAAAAAAAGAAAAAAAAGAAAAAAAAAAAAGAAAAAAGAAAAAAAAAAAAAAAAGAAAAAAAAAAAAAAAAAAAAAAAGAAAAAGAAAAAAAAAAAAAAAAAGGCAAAAAGAAAAAGAAAAAAGAAAAGAAAAAGAAAAAGAAAAGAAAAAAGAAAAAGAAAAGAAAAAAAAAAAAGAAGAAAAAAGGAAGAAAAAAAAATGAGAAAAAAAAAAGAGGAACAAAAAAAAGAAAGAAAAAAACAAGATGAAACAAAAAAAAAAACAATGAAAAAAACAAGAGGAAACATAATAAGAAGCAAAACAAACGTGTAAACAAAGAAGTGGCAAAGACAAAAGGAAAAGAAAACAAAAACTTAAAAGGAATTTTGCATTTTGCCTTTTTGTGTTATCTAATGCTGAAATCTGTTTATTGCTATTTTACTTGAACCAGCATACAAATATTAATCAGTTTTATACATGAGCCTGCATGCATCCACACGGTAGGTGGTCACATTGGCTGTGTATGGGGTCTGACCTAGCTTTATGTTGGTATACAGTTGGCATATTCCAGACCACGTCGACAAGGGGTTGTAATGTAGTTAAATAAAAAGAAAAGGAAAGACCTGGTGGATTTTACAACATATCAATCTTCTTCGCGGGTTATTTAATATCGAAATCATTTATCTTAGAGTCTACAGGTGAGCGTTGGTTGCCTTTACACTGGAGTCCTCGGGTGAATTTTAATCAGGTTTATTCTGGATTGGTTGGTTGATTGTTTTTACTTTGTGGCATATCAACCTCCTGTTGGAACTGGCTCGACATTGTTTAATTTCTGTGATCGTAAGGGGAACGGTGTTTCAACGTTTATGTGGCTGTAAGGGTTTTATACTTGAGCTTGCAAGCATCCACCTAAAAGTGAGACGGAGACAGGGCAAGCTATAGAAATGGGGGAACGAAAGGGAAATGAATACGAAAACAAGGACAAAGAAAGAAATATAGGGAAATTTAATAAAATTAGAAAAAGGCAAGAAATAATAAAAATAAATAAAAGAGGACATTTATAAAAAAAAAATATGAAAAAGACAAAATGACGCTCGTGTTATGATAAGAGTGCATTAAAGCCGATATTTGCATTTTAGAATAGATTTAAGCGACTTGATATTTTAGGGAAAGACGGAAGTTAACAACCCTTGTTATCGATCTTATCTGTCAATCAGATAAAAGCTCAACCATGAAGACGAGGGAAAAAGGCGAATCAAGCGGTAAAATAGGAATAAAATATGTATTCAACAGGGGGAACCCTCTCATGAACACAGAGACAGTGCCATAGTCTCGTGCCCCGCCGGATCTACGACACCCCCACTCTAATACATCTGTTTTTATAAGGTAGTACTCATATAAAATGCAAATTTTATTGTAACTTAATTATGTGAAATATCGGTGAATAATTGTTGTAGAGTGTGATTTCACAGTGGAGGCTTGTATTTGTACTAAGTCGGTCCTAAAATAGGTTCGACGTACAAAACGTTAGGAACTTGATATAATAGGTATAACGCAGAGTAATCTAGTTGTGGTCGCTGATACTTTAGTATTCGACTAACTGTCGTCCGACATCGACTGACTGACCGTCTGACTGATTCACTGAACGACTCCCTCGTTACTATTACTACTCCTACTTATTATAGGTGGAAGAGTCTATTAGCTATAGAATAGGTGTGTTCCACTATAACAACAATTAAGCTAGAAGAAATTGAAAATAAATAAAATGTATCTAAATACAAATTAGAGACACCTTATAAATAGATCGTTCCATCAGAAATAACTCAACGTTTTGTGACTGTTTTTAACAACTTGTGATTTTTCTTGTAAAAAAGTTGCATAATTTAACATTCAACATTACAGATAAACATATACTGAATTTTATATCGTCTTTTTTCGAGACTTAACATAAGCAAAACAAATTCACTGATTTGGAACCCCCCCCTATATATATATATATATATATATATATATATATATATAAACCTGAACGACGTCCAAAACATTGTTATTTATAGATACAAGTATTTAAGCAAAATGATTTTTCATCCATGTATTTAATAGTCAGATGTGACTTCTGCAAAGATTTTTTCATTTGCTTAGTTTAATTTGTAACGTATATAAATATAGGTAGAAAAAAAAGCAAATGTTGATAAGATAGCAAGGGTCCCAGAACGCTTCCCAGGAACCGTTAATTAGGCTTGGCGCCTGCGTGTCGTGGGTGGGGCTGCCGAGGGTAGTACGCACCGGTCCTGCATGAACCTCACCTCTTGGAAGACAGGGATTGTCTGTGCAAAAAGGGTGACTGGTTATTTAGATTCTTGCTCTAGCACATTTGAGAGTTCTGCCTCAGTAGTTACTTCACGAGATCTTTCATATAATTAATAGAAATGGGGATTTTAAAAAATTCAAGTAGATTGTGTTTGTCAATAACAACTGACAGTGTGGTGGAAGAAGAGGATGAGAGACGATAAATTGCCAGCGGAAATAAATTGAATAAACCCAAATGGTATTGAATTTGGGGAAGAAATTACTTTAATGTACTTATGTGTGGAATTGAAAGGAAGACGAAGAAAGGCGTGGAGAAGAAAAAGAGTAAAATAGGAATGGAAAACGACAAAAAATTAACCCGGAAAGACAGACAGACAGAAAAGCCTACCCGGAAAGACAGACAGACAGAAAAGCCTACCCGGAAAGACAGACAGACAGAAAAGCCTACCCGGAAAGACAGACAGACAGAAAAGCCTACCCGGAAAGACAGACAGACAGACAGAAAAAGCCTACCCGGAAAAGACAGACAGACAGAAAAGCCTACCCGGAAAGACAGACAGACAGAAAAGCCTACCCGGAAAGACAGACAGACAGAAAAGCCTACCCGGAAAGACAGACAGACAGAAAAGCCTACCCGGAAAGACAGACAGACAGAAAAAAAGCCTACCCGGAAAGACAGACAGACAGAAAAGCCTACCCGGAAAGACAGACAGACAGAAAAGCCTACCCGGAAAAAGACAGACAGAAAAGCCTACCCGGAAAGACAGACAGACAGAAAAGCCTACCCGGAAAGACAGACAGACAGAAAAGCCTACCCGGAAAGACAGACAGACAGAAAAGCCTACCCGGAAAGACAGAGACAGAAAATAAAAATTAAAAAAATAATGAAGAAAAAAATAGAATGATTGAGAGAGCAATGGCCGGAAGAATATTATAAAGCAAAGAAAGAAGGATATTTGGAAGGATGAAGGCGCGATACAAAGCCATGAAAGGCGACAAAGAAAAGCCCAACCATTAACGAAAAGCTCTCGTCGGCTAATCAATTCGATTTGCACGCTTCTCCAACGGTTGGCGTCGGCAACAAGCTGTAGTCATTTTCCCGCGCGTCTCGAGAATGACGTCATCTTATCATGATGCAGTTCGTTGGCAGCCCACAGAACATATCAAGAGGCTCTCTCACTGTTGAATTACATCCAAGATCATTCCTTTACTCAATCTGCTTCTCTCTTCGTTCCATCCAACTGTCTTGTATCCCGTGCCTTATTTCTTTTTCTTGCTGCACTTGGTCAAAATATAGATCTGTACTTAAATACATACATTTTTAAAATCAATTTTCACTGATATATTTACCTTCAAAAGGCAACACCCACCATATATATATATATATATATACATACACACACACACACACTTAGCCGTGCTCATTCTGCTACAAAACTATAGTACTGACACACAGGGAGGTTCGAACTCCCTACACTAGTTAATTAGTTTCCAATATTATGAGCCCTTTAGTAATGTCTTCACTCAACCAAGTCTTGTACAAGGCTATGGGAATCAGATCTACTTGCTATGCATCATATATGTATCGCGTCCCTTCAAGGACATAAGTTGTGGGGTAATAATCGCCTATCTTTTGTGTGTCTTAGCAGTTTTTTCTCCCTTTGCTAAGCCCTCACCGCCTGTTCCTTTACCCCATTCACACAAGCCCCTTAGGTAAGCGACTCGCTGCCTCACCCAATCTCTCTTGCCCTGAATTCGCCCAATAAGGGTTAAGTTTTCCTCGTTCTCCTAAGCAATTCTTACTACGAGTGCTTTTACTCGTCCGTGTTTACATTACCATCATCAGCCTGTTAAAATAAATTTTCCCTTTGATTTAAAAGGGTGAAACCTAATTTCGCTACATTGGATTCTAACGATTTTAGAGTTTTAAGCTTTTCAAATACGAT